ATACATAAGTAACGCCTTATAGCTACTTATGTTCATATACACACCTGCTTTGAAAGAGGCTTTGAATCCTCTGTAAGTAGTAGTGGTGTTACTGTCACTCTTGAAATGTACCCAGACCATATTACCCGAGCTCTTAATCGTACTAGGCTTGTTGGTACCACATACGGGTTTGGAGAGAATTGAACCATACCTTCCATCAAAACTTACGAGAGGTAAGTAAGGGTATCGAAAGATGGCTTCTCTCACCTCCAGATAGTCGTTCTCACAGTCTGTGCTTTGCTCCAGTTCGAATATTTCAAAGGTAAGCTCTACCTGCCGTCCTTCAGGAACAATTAAGTACCATCCCCATTCGAAACTCGCAGGGTACTTTTTTGATTCATTAACTTTTGGGGTGCCAATCTCAAAGGTTTCACCTTCCGTTGCATTTAGGACGCTTGTAAAGCGAGAAGAAGCTAAAACAAAAGTGAACGAACCATGTAATAATGTTGTTCCATCCCAATGACAATGCAATGACGTCTTCAGACCGTTAAGCAAGTGCCGGGGAAGTGGGGTGGGGGGGTGGGTGGGTGTTGTTAAAAAGTACCTTGCGACTTGTCTAATACTCTCTAAAATCTAAAATAACTTTGTCAGCCCTGCGGGCCTCTAAAAAATTGGCTCCGACCCAGGTCACTCCAGATTCGCCACTAAATTACCATCTTCAATGGTAGCAAAAAAGGAGCACGAATTTTTATAACACTTAAAATTGCACCAGTGCAAGCTCAGCAAGAAAAGAGGGTCTCAATGGGGTGGTGACTTTTACGGTTATCGGCTAAAAGTTTGGCTCTTTTACGGCTGTCGGTTAATTTTTTTCAGTTACGGTTAACAAAAAAGTTAAAAATTAACTTCTTTTGTTTCAAAAAGTTAAATATTAATTAACCTGTATTTTTTGTATCTTTAAATCAAAATAAAGGTCTTCGGATCATCTCGGGATGAAATAAGCTATATTCTTTTGAAAGATTTTAACATTTGATAGATCATACTTTTTTTAAAGTATTCCACTTCTCATATTATTTTACCCATAGAAATGTCAATAGTCAGTTTAAAAATAATCTTTGTGAAAAAGCAAAAGCAGACACGCAAACGCCCAACTCAAGACCCGAGCGCGACATTCATTATAACAGAAATGACCGTTTTCACACTAGAGACGGATTATACGTGTGAGACGGGTTATCCGTTTGATGATTCGCCGTGTCAGATAGGTAATACGTCTTAATTGGAAAATGGAATAGTTTTAATTTTGAAGGAGCAATCCGCCTGACTTTTGCAGACGGGATTATCCGTTCCAGATAGCCTGTGTACAGCCACCTCCTCCCCTCAGAAAAAGTCGGAGAAGGGGTTTCTGTGGGGAGGGCGCAACTGTAGACAGGCGAGTCTCAGACGGATAATCCATTTCTAGCTCTAGTGTGAAAAGGGCCAATAACAAAATTCCCGTGTCCAGTGTTTTTAATGATATGGAAGGACTGTACGGAACGACTGCCTGCCGTTGCCTTGTCCGTAGACCTCATTATTCCGCGCGGCTTATGCGTTTCGGGTCACGTGGTCCGAGCGAGTTCGCCACCGAAATGCCTTGACCGATCGAGATTGCGTGGGAAGACGCCGTACAGGGACTAGGCATGGCAATGTCTACCGTAGCGTCAGAGAAAAACAGGGAAATGTTGTTTATTGGCAACGTGTTTTACAAACAGTGACATCTCTGCGTGTTGTTTCACTAGTATTTCGAGGGCACGACCTCCTGAAAATCGCAAATATTAATCCTTAGCAAGAAGCCACATTTTTGCTATGCAAAAGATTAGTTTCCCGAGAGAGCGGCGGAAATGGAGCCTAGGTCTTGGTCAACACTTAAAAGGCGCTTCACCCAATGTGCGTACGGAGTCACACTAGCCGGAAAATAAAAAACGCAACCATAAGTGAGTTTAGTACCTTCATTAAAAGTAGCAAATCTAGGGAACAATTTCTTTTACGGTTAACTTTTTTTTATCCTATTTACGGCTAACGGTTAAAACTTTCAATTTTTACGGCTATCGACTAAATTTTTGGCCGTTTTACGCCTATCGGTTAACCCCATTGAGACCCTCAGAAAAGTTTTCTTGCAAGTTTTCTTTCTGCTTTTCTTATCCTTAATGTATTATTATTTTTTAGAATAATTACATTGATGATTATCGAAAATAGAGCGCTGTGGTTGGCTAGGATCTTCGCTTTATTCCGCTATAATCACCGCGCGGTGATTATAACATTGAAGGCTAGCAGTTTTTCAAAATGGCAGCCAGATTTTTTTATCTTTCGGAGTCGGAAATTGATCAATAGATAGAGGATATTACATGGCCGCGCGGAGATACGCATGGCCGCGCGGAGATACGAAATTTCTCTTCGAAGAAGAGAAATTTCGCATCTCCAAGCGGCCATGTAATGTTCTATTTATTATGTAAACACCAATGAAATACCAAGCCATTTCACTTTAATAGTTTTTTGGTGTGAAAAGCGCGATTAATTATGTAGCCATAGTAACGGTGATCTTTTCACAAGTGAAGATAACATGTTATTTTCACGTGTGAAGATATCATGTTTTCGCGCGAAAGCTCACCTGGTGTTTCATTGGTGTTTATTTTCTCGAATAATCATCAATGTAATAGTACTAAAACAATTAGTCGCCTCAGGCCACGTGAATATCGGCGACTAATTGTTAAATAGACACATGTACAGATCAAATCATACGGCTTTAAGCGAAATGGAATGCATGCAGAATAGAGAAGAGAAGTGATGACGCCACAAAAATTTTTCTAAAATAGGCCTGGATCGATCGTAACGTTGCGAACCAGGTCAATTTAGAAATGATAATAATTTCCAACAAATTAATTTTCAACAAATTATGTCGTCATAACGTCGTCACATTACGACAGTGCGTCAATCAAATTATACCTAGATGTTGGAAATGATGAGAAAATTATTCTGTGAAATTAGATAGGCCTCCGAGTCTCCCCCTGTCCTAGGAAGCAAAGCAAAGCATGGTCTGAATAAGGGTTAAGTGACCATGACAGACTTTGATGACCCGCGATAAACTTATTGTCCAAGTAAATCGATGTTAGTTTTTATGCACTCTATCGATTGAGGCTTGATACTTGATTTCAATCTTGGGGAGCTAGAACCTCCTATGGGATTGCAGTCCGGTTCCCTTTCAGAGGGTTGAAATTAAACCCCTAAACACTAAATGAGACCAATCTTTGCATGGTTCAAACTTTACTTGACCCCTTAAAGAAATCGTTTTAAACTGACAGTTAAATAGGAACTAGGCCAGGAGGAGGAGGAGGCCACAAATGACCATCTTTTGGATCGTTACCTTTACACCACAGTTATGAAAAACTGTTTTCAGTGATACCACAAATGTGGCACCGAGTGTTTATGAGGCAACCTTGGTCCTAGGGTTTTATCCCTCTCTTCTTCGAGAAAGGACCTCAGTTACAGTTGGTCACGTGGCTCCCATAGTCTGGGAGTTAACAAGGATTTCTCCCAAGGGAGGGGTAGTAAAGTGTCAAATTGTCACTGTTGTAGGTATGATGCAATACCACACTAAGGGCTTTAAAGCAACAGACTCTGTTCTATGGCACTTTGTAATAAAATTGTGGCACTTTTTAATACCTATCGCACTTTGTAATAACACTTGTCGCACTTTATAGGAACACACCACTGCACTTTTAGTAAAATAAGCTGTCGCACTTTGTAATAAACTTGAAATGGATGGTCGGTGGACAAGTAAACCCTGAAGTATCATCATCAACAACAACAGCAACATAAACAACAACAAGAATACATGTAGTAATAGTTATGTGATAACATTGCACTAAACGTTTTTCAGTACCAGTTTCTCAAATTGGGGCGGAGGAAAGTGTTCACATCAACTGCGGCCTTCCGACTTCAAGATCTTTGTAGGAAGTAAAACTCTTCTTACGTGGACGGCCTCGCATAACAGCGAGAGTCCGGAGAGAAGGGAATTTGTTTTGGTCCGTATTATCGGGTTTTCCATAAAAGTAAGGTGTCCTTAACTGTGTAAGCAAAATAGTTTGAAAGTTTCGGTCAACGAAGAAATCCGGGTTTCATTACCTGCGAGGATATGACCAGAGATATTACGAGATTTTAGTGTTTATTGCCATGAATAAGCGCTATACTAATATTTCATAGAACCAAAAACACAAACATCGAGCACAGCACGGTGCCACAATCATCATCTTCATCGTTATTATTATTTATGTTAGTGTCGCACTATTGCATATCATTTGCCCATGTCATTGTGCCAAAATGACCGCTAATTTTTTGTGGAAATTTCGAATGCGCTAGAACCGACATGAAATTAAACAAAATAGATTCATAATAATCAGAAGATGCGACATCGCAAAGTGTGGCCCACGGCCAGCTAAGATGACAAAAAGTAAAAAAATGCAAATACGAAAAGAACTGAAATCTTAAGTACAATGATACTAACAAAAGATCTCGGTCTCGAACGTTTATGCTCAAGTTCCATCTTCTATGTAAGTTGTAACAAGGCATTTTTCGCCCTTTTTTGCCACAATTGTTTTCTCTCTAGCTAAATGTTGAGGTGTCTCTGCCTAGAGCTTTGAAGTATGCTACTTGTTTCGCAAAATATGTCCATGATGATAAAGCATCCAAGACCTATATAACGCAGTACCAGCAAAGCATTTGCCCATTTTTGATTTGAGATTTTTCGCCGTAATTCAAGCACGACACTACTTGAAGGCCCAAACATTCTTATGAGTTTTTTTAACGCCGAAATTTCCCGCCACCCTGCCACAGGAGAAGTAAATACGCGGCAGAATCTGAAAAGCCAGCCTATGGATCACGAAATGCACAGTTGATTGTAAACTTGACATCTGTGGGTAGGCCACGAAAACGTTCCAGATCCTTCTTTAACAATGAATGACGTCATTGTTTAAGATAATTAAGACGGAATC